CCTGGCAGGTTTTTTCAGGCCAATCCGGGATTCAAACTGTGTCGCCATGTGGCTTTGCACACCGTAAGGCACTAGCATTGCCACTACACCACAATGGTTGGGTTCACAGCCTGGTTTTTAAGGTGGAGGCCAGCCGGCATGGAAGGGGCATGAGGCCCACACTCCAGAGGTGCCCAGGAAGGACCGTCAGTCCAACTGGAGGCCTTTCCTTCTTTCAAGTCAGCAAGCCTGCTGAATCTCTGCAGAGGTCACTGAGTCCAGATAGTGCTAAAAGCCCACTGGCTCTCACTGTCCCTAACTAAACCCAGAGTGGAGTCATGGCCCACTGGGTGTGGCCTTACCCGTCCTCGGGCCTCATCTCCCTCCGTTCTCCTTTACTCTCTCTGTCCTAGCCACACCAGCCTTCTGTTTCTCAAACACGCCCACCTCGCTCTTGCCTTACGGCCTGGGCATCTGCTGTTTCTTCTCCTTGGGGTTCTGCGCCCCCAATCTCACAGCCAGTTGCTTTTCTTCATTTAGTCTTCAACTCAAATGTGACTGATAAAAAGATGTCTGTCCCCACTGTGTCTAATATGTTGGCCCCCCCCATCTCTCTCGCTGGCCATTCACCCTGTTTTCTGGCTCTCCAAGTCCTTATCACTCTCAAATAATCTCAGTTAAGTATGTCATTTCTTGTTCAGTGTCTGTCTCCCTTGTGAGAGCAGGATTTTATTTGTCTACTTCTGTATCCAGGGCTTAGAGCAATGGCACATAGTGGGTGCTCAGTAAATGTTTGTTGAATGCCTAAAGGGTGTCAAAGAAAATTCAGATCTAAGAGGCAATCCTGCTTAGAGGTTTGCAGCATTGTCACCTCGGCCTTGTTACAGCAGAAGGAGGTGCAAAAACACCCAAGACCCAGACCGAAATGTACCCATTAGGACCGACGTGCTCCTGTGGTCACTGAGAGGTGGCCCAGCCCCAGGCCACAGGAGCCCACAGGTACCACAACAGCAGGCCATGTCCTAGGCAAGGAGTCAGTGTCTGGAATGTGAGACAAGGCCATGGGAATTGTGACAGACAAGAGGACCCCAGCCCTTCGGGTGAGATTCAGGGGCAGGGTGCTGGGTGGGGTCAACTGGTAAGAAAAACGGCTCTAACCGTAGGGACAAAGCAGGTTCCAAAGACTAGGGGCTGCGCTGAACCTGAGGACGTTTGCGGTGAGACGGGGAAGAGAAGGCCACAGGGACGAAGCGGGCAGGACCAGACAGGCTCTTCATTTGGGTGGGAAGCACATGGGGTGAGTTTACCGTTTGCAGTGTGGGACAGAGATGCCTATGCCAGCTGTCCTGTGAGGGCCCTCTCAGAGAGAGATTCCAACAAGAGAGCACCCTAAAGGACCCCGCCCGCCCCCCACCAACACACACACACACACATGCACACACGCGCGAAGAAATCTGCTGGATCTGCTGGGCTGCTGTAGATATGCCTTGACTAGTACTTTCAGTTATTTTGACAGCTGGCCAAGGAGCTTTCACATGGGTAAGCCCCGATGTATAAGAAAGAACCCCAGGATTCTCGCACTGGAAAGCCACCAAAAGCCCCCGGTACAAACTGTCCTGCCCGATATGCAGGCCCTCTCAACCTCGGCTCCCACTGTGGCTGCTCAGCTCTCCTGAGCCAGACTCCCAGTGTCCTCTTTTTCTAACCCAGAGATGATTCCTGCCTCCCCGCTTGGCCCACTCCCCTGACCTTTGCCAGTCAGAATGTTACACTGTATTCAACACACAAAGTAAGCCCCACGCTTTGCAAGCCCTCTCTGATGCTGAGTACACAATGCTCTCAATTCCCGCAGCACAGCCTCGCACTGGGTGATATTGTCTAATGTTTGTTCTCAATTGTTCCTGCAACTAGGTCATAGGATTTTTGAACATAAAGGATGTATCCCCTTGTTACAGTTCTTCCATAGCATCCAGTAAAGGTCTGGGAGCATAATGGAGAGATTTGTAGCTTGAGGCTTGCACTGGCCAGGAAAGGCTGGGGGTGGAGGGAATGCTTTGGTGCTAGAGATTGCTTGGTGAAAAAATGGAGGAACCAGCAGTTAGCGTAATGGCTATGTCGCTGGACTCCTACGTAGTTGACCGCGGTTCGAGTCCTTGACCCAGTGGCTTAAACTCACACCGGGCGCGTGTGCGTGCGTGCCCAAGATTCTGAGAAGAGAATGGAGGAGAAAGGATTGTGGCGTGGCCATCCCCCCCAAGGG